TGACAAGAATGGAGTTCCCCAAGCAGTAGGTATGGTGCCGGTTATTCTTCCCCAGGTGCATCACTTTGCATTTGTTGGTGTTGAATCCCATCCTATTTTCATCCGCCCACCCTTGTAACCTGTCTAGGTCCGATTCCAGTCTATTCCTCCCTTCTAGCATGCCCACATCCTCCTGCATCTTATTGTCATCAGCAAATTTGAACAGGGTGCTTTTTACCCCCTCGTCCAAGTCACTGATGAAGACGTTGAACAGTGCGGGCCCGAGGACTGAGCCCTGCGGAACTCCGCTGCCCACATCCCTCCAGGTCGAAAATGACCCATGCACTACCACTCTCTGGGTGTGGCCCTCCAGTCAGTTGGCGACCCAATTGACTGTGTGGGTGCTGACACCACTGTCCCCCAGTTACTTAATGAGAACAGGGTGATAGACAGTGTTGAAGGCCTTCCGAAAGTCCAGAAAGACTATGTCCACTGCTACCCCTGCATCTAATGATTTGATGATCTGATCATAGAAGGCCACCAGGCTGGTCTAACAGGATGTGTCACTAATGAACCCGTGTTGGTTGCCCCTCAAGCAAATAGAACTCTGAAGTGCATCAGGCCGTGTGTCACCAACAGATCCAGAGAGGTGCTCCTCCCCCTCTATTGGGAGGTTGGTTAGGCTACAGCTGGAGTACTGTGTCCAATTCTGGGCACTGCAATTCAAGAAGGATGTGGATAAGCTCAAAAGGGTGCAGAGAAGGGCCACCCACATGATCAAGGGCCTGGGTGACCCTATCAAGGGCCTGGGGGGCTAGGGGACCCAAAGTGGGCCCTATGAGAAGAGACTTTGGGATCTAGGTTTTCTCAGCAAAAGAGGTGACTTGATAACCATCTACAAGTATGTCAAGGGAGAACACCAGGACCTAGGTGAACATCTTTTCAGAAAAGCACCCCCATCCCCATCCCTCCTGGGAAGAAGCAGACCAATAGACACAATCTAGTTGAAGAAAAGTTTTGACTGATCATAAGGAACACTTCTTTTCTTTATGGGTAACTAGAATCTGGAACACACTTCCAGCAGAGGTGGTGCAGTTGCCATCTCTGGAAGTCTTTAAGAGGAGGCTGGACAAATACCTTGTTGAGCTCATTTGAGCCCAATTACCTCCTGTTCTTGACAGAGGACTGGACTCGATGATCTTATAGGTTCCTTCTGGTCCTTCTTTCTATGATTCTAACTACATAGTGGGAGTGTCTTCACATTAGACTAATGTAAAATGCAGTAAAGTGTCACTGCCTACACATACGTGGCAGTTACTACTATATATTAGATTAATCCAATGTACTGTTTGCTAGTACCAATAGATACAGGTACTAGAAAACAGCACATTAAACTAAAGTGCCATACTATGTGTGTAGATGCTGATCGAGAGCAAATTGATCCCAGTCAGCTGAGGCAGCAGGAAGCCACACTGCTTCCTGGCTAAGCCCCAAGTTCCAGGGGGTGGAGGGCCCTGTAACTGACTTTGGCAGTAGCTCTTAGCCTCACAGAGGTAAGAGTCAGCTGTGACCAGCACTCCAGAGAGAAGAACACATGGGCCTGAGCTTCCAGCTAAGGAGGTGGGCCCTGTGGCACACTTACCATGCTGCTTCTTCCTTCCCGCCCCCCAGGAGCTGATGCAATTCCCTCCCCGCCCAGGAGCTGCAAATGCCATGGCAGTGGGGCCTGAAGCATACCTGTGGTGTGTCCTGCAGCCAAAGGGCAGGCACTGGGTGCTGGGCAGTGTGGGCCCGTTTCTTTGCAGTACCTGGTATAATGGCAGAGCCCCACTTAGCCTGTCACCAACTGTGCTTGTCTTTGGGGCTTCTGCAGAGCAGAGGTCTCTGCTGGTGTGCTTCTGGGCCTGCCACCTGCTGCATGGTTACCACACTGATGTGGGGATGAACCCAGTGCACCTGCAGAGCTCTCTGCAGGTGATAGGCAAACACCACATTTTTTCATAATTAAAATGAAACTTATATAATAGGTAGCTAGATAGATAGATATAGATTTCATACACATACACACACATATCTATATAGATATATATTAGTGGTGTTTCATTTTAATCATAGAAAAATGTGGATTTGGGGTTTCTTTTTTATATCTGAATATTGGGGATTTTTTTTTTTTTTTTTAGCAGAGAAAACCAGGATCCCTGATAATTATAATTATGCGACTAGGTGCTCACCAACCTTAATATGGACATCATAAACCACAGATCCATTCTCTGAGATCATCTATTAGATTAAATGTATTAGCAAAAAAGGCGGATAAATGCCTAGTTGCTCCTAATAGGGATTAGACCTGAGGTCAGCACTAAAGAATTAAGCATTATCCTGACTGAGATTTTTCTGGACTGGTCCCAAAGCAGAACTTTAGAGAACCTAGAATGTGGGATGTTAGATTTAGGCATCTAAATCCCATCTAAATTCATATGTATATTTTAGTGGGCATCAGTGTTAGTTAGAGCTCTAGAGTTAGAGTTTTATATGTAGACCTTTCAAATGTAGAATCAGTACGTTATTACATTGTATTTAAAAATACAATTCTTTGGCCTGAATCCTGATCCTTGTTACCATAGACATAATGGGAGATGAGCCAAAATGGGCAAAGGGGTCCTTATACCATTTCCACCTATGCTTGGATTGCAGCTACCATGGTACAGTAGGGCCTAGGACAAATGCTTACAGTAGCAGTAGTTCTTACAGCTGCTTCTGAAATGAGCAGTAAACATTACTCTTAATCCAGAATCTACTACTAGTTACAACCATTGCAGACAAAGTGGGGTGCAGGGTAGTGGGAAGAAAGAGAATAGCCTGAAGAAATGCCTAGCTAAATTGACCACTTCAAGCTGGTTGCAAAACATCTAGGGCATTTATACATGTGGTCTGTGGGGGGGTGCTTTAATTAGAGCAGCTCTGAGAGCCACTCTAATTAAAGTGCCTGGAGCTTCACATGTATCAGCATCCTCACATCAAAAAATGGCAGCAGGGGCTCATCAAACAAGCTTTAAAGCACCTCCCCACACACACACACACTCCAGCAGGCTCGATTAATCCCCTAATTAATTGAGTCTGCTCTGATGCACTGTAATTACAGTGCATCAGAGCAACCTCAGTACACATGTATAGGTGCCCCAAATGACTTCTATGTATCCAAATCAAGCCTAAGCAGAAGAAGGTGCTGCAAAAAATACTAAGTTTTAATTCTAGATGAATATTGTATAGGGACAATATGACCAGAAGTAGTCCCTTGCAGCTTGCTTCAGATTACTTTGTTTACCCTTCTGGGGTGAGCTATAATTTCATATTTCCAACAGTTGTCCAACTGGAAAAGGAGAAGATCAAATAAGGTATAATATTAAAGCACTCCTACATCTGAATCATAATTAGAACTGAAATGAAAGAAAAAACCATCAAAGCCAAACACAGTAAACAGTTTTTCACATCAGGCTAAAAATTAACAGGAAAAATGTCATCATCTAGACTTCTTCAATTCTTTGGTCTGCATATGGACTCTTTTCTTGCTGTCATCCAAAATCTAACCAGAGTTAAAAAACACAGGATCAGACTGTCTAGTTGCAACCCGAGTATGAATCAAATGGAATTCATTCTAATTTCCTCTCACAGTTTTTATAGCACCTCATGTACTAATAAAACACAACTTCCATAGAGAATTTAAGCCACTTTTCCTAAAACTTTTCCCAGCTTTTAATTTTTTGAATACCATTTATTTAGTTCAGAATTTTAAATATAAAATAGGGAAGTTTGGCTTTGAAATTATCTACCACATTAATATTTTGTAATTATGTAATTATTCTGTATAAAATGATGCAATATTTGATACATTAAATATATCTATAGAATAAAATGTTACATTCTTATATACACATTTCATATCAAATACATCTGTGAGTGTTTGATACCTAAATAAACAGCCTATTAATAGATGTATACAAATTACATATATGAAGGCATTGTACCAAGTTACAATGTAATGCAAATTAATTTAAAACTGGCAGAATAAACCATTAGAAAAATGGGGTTTACATTACAATAAAATATAATTATATCGAGTATGGTGCACAGAAGTTTACATTTTAAAAACTACATTCTTGACTGAATAAAGCTTGAGGATTTTAGCCACAATTTAAATGAGAAGAGAGACAAAAAATGCAAACTAAATAGGATCCCAAACTGTGGAGAGGTCAGTTATTTAAAACAAGGTAAAGGCATATTGCTGTCTTTTTTTCCAAATTCAATTATTTTTTCCACTTAGTATTTCAAAGATGTGAAGGAGGAAGGAAAGATATAATTAATTTATTTAGGGGATAAGATTTGTTTGATTTTTCTTTTTATTCTTTCTTTTATTTGCATATCAAATATTACAGCTTCCAATGAAATAAAGCAAAACAATGAAAGCACAAGACGCTTTTAAGATTTAGAATCCAGAAGCTAGACAAACAGATGATTTATTACAGCCAATCAGAATGCAAAGGTTTACACAAAATTGTTTAGAAAAATTTATTGTTTAGAAAAACCTGTTCAATTGTTTTACAAGCAAATCTGACTAGTGAATAATGTCTCCCTATCAGGGTAGAATGATATGAATATGTAGAGAAATATCTATGTAAAGATTTTACAAATGAAAACCCCACAATCAGAATTCAATCACTTGAATAAAAATAAGAATATTTATGCTTAAATGTCACCGTTCATCTGTAGACAAAAGTCTTATACAAAAGTTGGCAAGCAACATTATTTCAATTTGTAAGCAAACTAAAGTACATAACCATTTACTGTCTTCCCAATGTCTCACAATAAATTAGTAGAAGTTAGAAATGATTGTTCTCTCACTAGACTGTGACTACATATTATAGTTATGTAGCAACACTCTTGCACTCCAGTTGGATACCACATTTCCTTTCCAAAAGGGTATGACTAAAACATGATGTCAGTGTCACATTTACAATGTGCAGTCAGCAGTGAGCTTGTCTTTTGCAGAACCTCATTGTACAGCTTTACATAAGTTATTAAGTTTATGGGCTCTCAGGTCAGTGCATGAGACCTGATTCCAAGACTATCATTTCACTTTTAGATGCTGTAGGAAAAAAAATCCTCCCCTCTTCTGGGGCTGAAAATGGTCTCTCCATCCCTCCTTCTTCAAGGAATGAGAGATGTGGGATGAAATCCTGGCGCCACTGAAGTCAATGGCAAAATGCCTATTGGCTTTGATGATGCCAAAATGTCTTTTTAGGAATTAAGACCCCAAATCCAGCACTAGATTTAACTACATGCTAAACTTTAAGCAAGTGAGCAGTTGCACTTAATTCAAGGTCAAAGCTGAAGTCCCAAGGCCCAGTCGAAAAAAAGAATCTAGGCATAGCTATAATACCTAATTTTTAGATGTTACCTATAGGAATCTATAACCTTATTGAGGAGCTAAAGCTCAAAACACATAAGCCTAAGAAAGGAGATTCAACAAAGCTACCAAATGAGCAGGCATACATCTGACCTAGCCAGTCATAAATACTGGGCATGTCTACAAGTGTGCATTTACTGTGTAGTAACTGAAATTACTACGTGCACATACTGTGCAGCAAATATGTTGACTTACACTGACTTGAGCATAAATTTGAAACCTGTATCAAGCAGGTATCAAATTTATGCACAATTAGTTACTGTGCAGTAATGCACGTATAGATGCCTTACTGCACAGTAACACTGTGTATGTTAATCACATTAATGCTCTGTGTGGACTGACTTGGGACTAAAGTTACTGCACATTAATGTGTTTTAATGCCTGTACATGTAGATTCATAGATTCATTGATGCTAGGGGCTGGAAGGGACCTCTCAAGATCACCAGATCTAGTCTCCCTGCACTTGAGCAGAATGCTGAACTATTCCTGCCTACTGCGCAGTAACTTACTGTACAATAAGTTTGAGCCGATGTAAATGTACGTGTAGACATGCTTACTAAGGAGAGAGGCAGAGCATATTCCTTGCCCCCCTCAGAAAGGAAAGCATGAAACTCTAGACAAAAGGGAGGCACCAGCATTCACAGACTTGAGCCTTCAGCAGATAAAACTAGGAATAATTATACCTAACTGGTTAGTATACTTATATGGGAAGTGGAAGACTAGTCAAAGGAACACAAAGGCCTTGCCATAAATGTCTCCATCTTATGGATATTCTCCATTATTTAAAGACAGGAACCTATGCTGTAGCTGTAAGTGTGTAACTAAAACAGAAATACTGGGTTAACCGTTTATATCGATGAGCTTGCAAGACCAGACTTCATGCTTTTTTCTTATTTAAAAGGAAAGCACTGACTAAGGGGGCTGGCAGATGTTCACTCACTGGGGCAATGGGATCTGATCCTCCATATCAACAATCATGCCTCCTCCCATGCCATGATTGTTGGGATGGAGAATCAGGTCCTAATAGTGGCACTGCCAACAGTGGCCTCAGGCAGGGGTCCACAAACACAGGACTGGGGGAAATCAATTGACTCCCCCTGCTTGGCATCTGCAAACCCACAATCTCTTTGCCAGGAAACAGGACCTCTGTAGATAGGTAAAAACCAGGTATGTAGCCCAATCCCCAATCCTGGGATTTCTGTACACTGGAAATTAAAAACAAAAAAAAAGTGTGTTCAGTCCATCATCCTAGCGCACAAAGAGACTGAGACCAGAGAATCTCTGTCCAATACTGGGGTCTCTGTTGCTGGGCTGAATGTATAAAGTGCTTGCCTTTGAAGTGCAAGGCATTTGAAAATGCCTTGTCCAGTAGCCTATGCAGGGCAAGGTAGGAAAGGCTTCTGGCATTGGGGTTGCCAAGTTCCCAGCAGCGGAGAGCCATTTTTCTCCCATTACCTTCGTACCCCACCCCACCTCCCTTCCCAGCATGGGCATGCTATACATCCAAATTATAAACCATAAAAACCAACCACAAAGGTATTCCACATATTTTGTGGAACATCTGTTCCACTATTTTCTGTTACTATTTAATGTGAGCCAGGGACCTAAGTGTTTGACTACAGTAATACAAGCAAGGTAATTGGAACCTATAACCATAAGGAATAGAACTCCCTGTCAAGAACTGAAACCTAAATGATAATCTTTGAAGACTATCCTAGTTTAAGTCATAAAACAAGGAATGTGGAACCTTATCAGAAAGTCTTCACTTAGCTAGAAAAGAATGGGTCTTCATGATCAATCCCTATCATTAATGTATATCCAATCCAAGTGTTGGTAGATGCATATCTTCATTTAATCATTGTATGACTATGACTGTAAACCTAGGAAGAACTGGGAATGCAATGAAGGACCTCAGGAGCTGAACAACCAACAAGGCCTCAGAGATCCTAGGTTCCAGCCTACACTCATCCTCCCAGGATGTTTCTGAATTCTCATTGCCTGATCTGAATGCTAGTTAAACGTGTGTTAACTTTCCAATAAAGTGATTCTGTAGAGAAGAGGCAGGTGTGCTCTCTCTTCATTCCAGGGTCCCATCCAACAAAGTAAGCTCCCTTTGACTTATGGGTGAATAAAAGGCTTCCCTTCACCTTGAGTTCAAATCCCTCCTCAGATCAGGCAGAGTGTCCCACATTCCCAAGCAGTGGACTATTAGGTATGGCAGGGAATGGGGGGGGACAACATGACTTCTTCCTCACTGTCCTTCCCATGCATTAGACATCCTATGAAAACATATTTTGGACTGGGTCCCAGAGATGAGCTAGGAAAGCAAAATCCACAGCAAACCAAGGCCAGATGTAATTTTGCAATTCAGTCTCCTACTCCCTTTTATACTAACCTGTTAGTTGGACAAATAGTCCCAAATGATTGCTCCACTTGGCATTATTCTACAGTTAAACTCTACATAATAATAATAATAATTCTACATTATTCACAAGTTAAACTCTCCACAAGAATGAAAACTCTGCTAACACCAGTTTCATTTAATCAAAGAAGATTGTCAGATGTAGATCATAAAATGGAAAAAAAAGATTTCCTTCATGTTTTCTATGACAATGGCATGAATAGCATACTTTTTTTCAATTCTGGGATCAATGATCTGAAGTCTCTGATTAATTTTTGTCATTTGTGACAGATCTGGATAAACTAATGCTTTATAACTGAAATAATTGCTCAATACATTATTTGGAAAGGTTTGAAATTCAGTCTCTATTAGACAAAACACTAACCTGACAAAATATCCTAATTGTGTTTCACATCATTTTTTGAAGTTGAGTAGAAGATACTAGTACTGAAGTACTCTGAAAAAGGACCATAAGTTTCTGAAGACATATTTTTAAAGCAACTAGTTACAAGAATCATCACCAGTATCTAGAATTTCCCTTAAATATAACTTAAATAATGGACAATAAAAAGCAAGATAATTATCAATGAGGACTCTAAACTCTCCCTTAGACTACTGAGTCAAAAGAAGATTGTTAAGTTATGTGAGATTTATATATAGACTTTACTAAAACTGAATATTAAATATTTCAGATCTCAATTCAGCCTAGCATCAATGAACATATTTGTTTTTAACTTGGGTCCTGTTGTCTAGGGTTGGATTTAACCATCTGCTTAAAGTTAAATATTTTCTTTGCTGGCTCAAAACACAGACTGCTGTATGCTGAAGTACCATTGAGATTGAATATTGAAGCACTAAACTGAAATATTCTGTAGTTCATATAATTTTGTTTCTAATTAATACAAGATAAGTTCTGAGTTTTTATTAAGTTTTGCAAGTTTGTCTTTTTCTGATTGTTAAAATATCCATTGAAATATAAGAAATTGTGTATTGTAATATAAATGATGTGGAGAAATCTTCCTAGAAAATCATGGACCAGTTAGATCTTATTGATGGAGATGAATATTAGTATTTCTCAAGTAAATTTAGGATGCCTTCATGGCTTTCCTTTGAGGGTCTTTCAGTCTACTCTTTCCCTCTAACAGTTGCCAACAAATCCCAATACAATAAAAAGATATGATAGATATGAAATTACTATAATAGCTATATTATGATACCCAATTTGAACAGTAATTCACAACAATAAATGTTTCTTTGAAGTCAATGGGTGCATACACTTGAGCCTGCATGTGCCTCTTGCAGTGCCTCAAATCCCTTTGGGATGCTGCAAGATGCACATCCAGAACCAAAAAATGTTTCCTGCACTGCATATTTGCAGTGCAGGGGCAAAATCTGATACCTAGATATCCAGGTACCAAAAAATATCCTGGGGGAAAAAAGTGGTAGCCAGTCAGAGCATCTCTATGGCTGGCCCTTGCCCCAGTGCTGAAGCACACTGCCTGCCTTTGCGAGGCAACTGCAGGGAGGCTGTAGGGAACTGGACCCAGGCTCCATGACAGGTAAGTAGGG